AGTTTGAAGACGTTTCGCTTTTCATCCAGGAAGCTTTTAAATTCAAAATGTGATTGAAAAGGAAATTTAAAACTTTTCCTGGATGGGAAGCAAAACGTCTTCAAACTTGGAAACAAAGTCCAGTGGGTTGCTTTTTTTTAACCTTTTTGGAATGGCTATGACCTGGATGACTGAGAATCTTCATCAGCTTACTTTACCATAATTCCATTTATTTTTATTTTTTTTTTACTTTATTATAATCTAATGGTGTTTAAGTATCTCCTTATTCCTTTAGTATGCCTATGGTGGATTTGAACAAGTGTTCATTTTCATACTTGTTCAAAAAAAGATTAAAATAAGCTAATGCTAACTAAGCTAAGTCAGCTCCAAAGGTCTAATGATTGATTTTCACCTTTATTCTCATTCTGTTTTAGGAAACCTAAAGTTGCTTCCCAAACAAAATATTTGTGCTGCAAAGTTTGTCATTTGTGGCACTTTTTCTTTAAAGTTTAAAGGTTTAAACTTTTGGTGGCAATTTTAAAACAAAAGCAGCACGAAAATAGCTGAAATAATCGGCAGCATTTCTGTCTGAATTAATGAAGTTGGTTTTTCTCTCATATGACTCCTGCTATTCCTGTCGCTGCAGATTCCTTTATGTTGATGTTAGCATCGTTAGAAATATTTTCTTTTGTTTTATCCTAACCATACCCGCCTGTTACATGTTAAGGCTGTTTTTCCAGGCATTTTATCTAATTAGGACAGTACTGTCAGGATAGAAAGTAATCATCCTCATTATGTACATAATGCAATGAGAGAACAGAGTGGTTAAATCTTAACTGTTTGCTCCATCATTCAGATTGTCTTTAGTCTAAGGACACTCCAACATTTCATCTCATGTGGGAACATGCATGATATGATAAGCTGTGTGTATAAACCGTCTGTTAACCGAAGCCATTTCTCTGGTCCGAGTACGATTAAGACTTCTATCAAAAATCTGTTGTCATATCTGTACTGCAGTGTTCTCCTGTTATCATGTTGAGCCTATGAGGCCGCCGTGGCCCTATGAGGCCCTGGGGGCTGATTTCCTGTTTAGTGTTCAGTTCAGCATTTCCAGTACAGCTAACCACAACCACATTCTCGCCTGTCGCCTTGTTATTCATGCAACTTGAGGCGACGAGGATGCGTCTGAACTCACGTGTAGTGTTCGTTCTTGTAAATAGCCGTTTTGTTTCTAAAGTATTCGCGTAGTTGTCCGTTTCATCCGACGGAAGCGCGGATGGAAGCACCAAAACTTAAAGGAATAGTACACCCAAAACATGATTAGCCTTCATTTTCTACTCACCCCCATGC